TTTTGTCACCACCTGGTGGCAGAACATTTTCTCTCTCTCTTTTTTGCACTTAAGTTTTTTTTGTTTCTTGCTATGGAAATCTCTAAACCAAGAAAATAAGTTAACTTTAGCTGTCAAGCATTAATGTACACTAAGCATACAGTAGGCACTTAAAGCCCTGTTTAATAAATGAGCTTTTAATTTGATTTAGTGGATTCCAATGTCTATGATCTTTTTATTTGAATTTCATAAAGCTCTCAAATGTGACAAATGAAAGTTACCCATAGTATTATCTTATCAGAGGTATTTTTTTAAAGTTTAATTGATTTTTTTAATTTTTGGTTTAAGTTAACAGAGCTACAAGATTTTTTTAAAAGTAGCTGGCTAAGGCATTTTATTATTTTAAGAATGTAAATACACTTCAAGTTACCACATTCAAAAGATATTTTCCGTGATACAAAAAGTTGAAAGAAATCTTGATAAAATTTTATCAGATATGATTGAAAAGGTATAACCTACTTTGCAAACTCATGACTTGTACTATTAAGAAAACCTGAGCTGTACATCATTTGCTGTAGACCATCGCCACCTCGTGGGCTGAAAGAGGTCCTAACGGCTGTGAATCTTTTAAGGTGGAATTGCTATTGCCACAAAATTCCTATTTAGAATTTAAATGAAATTTAGTCACTGGAAACCACAGCAGTAACAAGTCTGACAACATACTTAACCTACTAAACAATTAGATAATTAAAATGCCAAAAAGGCATTTGATTAAACCTAATGAGTCAGAGTCATTTCTAAGCTCCCAACTTGGAGCACACTGAAGGCAAAGCCCCGTTAGAAGCATAATTTAATATCTGTGAAACAAGGAAGGTGGATTCCACAGATTATACTTTTCTCAGTTCTTGCAAATACGTGATTTTGGGGGTCACAGCAATTTGTAGTCCAAACGCAATTTACATTAATTTTTCTGTTTTCAGTATTTGTTATAGTCTTGGGTAAAAAACATGCTTAAAATAAATGTTTTGTATCTTTTTCCTCATTTATGATCCAATGAAATACCCATTTGTTCAATCTTACTTCAGACCATATGTTCAAAAAAGAGCACTAAACAACTTTCCCATTTCTAATTGGTAAATTCTATGGTATGACAATATGAATAAATAGCAGCACATGTTTAGGAAATATGAAATAGTCATCATTTCTGTAGATAATATTTTCACTAAAACAATGCTAGTAGTGCATGTATATTACCAGATTCCCTCATTTTGTGGCCACTTGTTAAATACTTAATTTGATCTAGACATCTTAAGAATTATGACTAGAGTATTGTGTCCATAAAATATGAGTAAGTGAAACACATACAAACACATAAGGTGTAGGTAAAAATGAATACCTGTTTGCTTCTTTTACTTCAAAATGCTCAAAACATTCCCATTTCTCTGTTAATAGAAGACACGGATGCTTTTAAAAGGTCAAACTGTTCATTGTAAGAATATCTGTGTCAAATACAGTGTGGGGCAAAAGTCAGTTTACAGTAGTGAGTACGTGAAACACAGAGTTTATTCTTGTATTGCTGCTTATTAATTATTGTATTATTTTCCATATGAACAACTGTAAACTTATTTTTGCCCCATCCTGTATTTTAACTTTGGTTAGCTCCTCTCTACAAATAATAAAAACTGGTTAAGGTCTATAAATTAGAACATATCACAATGTATGTGTATTAGCACATACATATTCTATAAAAAGAAAGCCAGAGACATGGTAGGGCTTAGGACAACGTGTGATCTTTTGGGTGCCCGTTCAAATCGAGGAGCAAACATTTTATACGGGGGAGGCAGCAAAGCTTACTTAAAAGGGCCAATATTACATGTCATTTTTACTAGTGCCATGTACACATTTTACTTCTGTGGGTCTTGTCTCCACAGTAAAATCTTTTTTCCATTCACAATCTTGTTTAAAATAGACATATGTTATATGTATATGCTTATGTAATACCACAAACGCCCAAAGAGTGCTGGTCTTAAAAAAAAAAGAGAGAGAAAAAAAAGGTAAGTAGATTAAATGTTCTTCTGAGTACGGATGGAGTTTTTCAAGCTTAGTAATTGGCAATTCCTACATCCATGCCTCTGCTGAAGCGATTAAAAAAGAATCATTTCCCAGAACTACAGGTGCACGACAGATTGGAATCATTATGCAAAAGAACAGAAATCTGGAGGGAGACCCAGCGAATAAAAAAGCCATGTTCCTGGCCATCCTTTGCCTTTAGCTCTCTGTGGGTTTTTTTGTGGGTTTTTTTCAACTCTATTTGGATATACAACATGAAACATACAAAAGTTATAATGGATTTGAAGTAAACCATTCAAGATTAGACATCTATGGCTTGAACTAAACAAACTTCCAATAAGAATGTGCTGGGGGCAGAAATGGACTAAAGGCCAAGCTAGCATGTGTGTATTTTAAAAGCTAAAGTTTATGCAGGGGAGAGGTGATGCTTTGGAATACATTACATGAGTTTTTAGAAAATTACAGTTTCCTGCCGGTCTTCGGAACTTCCCGTAATGTCCCAATCCAAGGAGCGCCCATGTACCCTCGGTCCTCTGCTGGGTCTCTGGGCCCCTGGACCACCTCAAGTATCTGAAATCTCCATCTCACAGCCACGCTGAGGCCCCAACTGCTGGTCCCTTGACATTGTTTCCAGAGCCCACCTCTAAGCAGGAGTTTGAACATTCATTGCCAGCTTCGCCACCCTGCTTTCGTAATTTCTCAGTCGGTATCTTGCAAGTGTAAAGCGACTTTTCCTCAAATGTTCTCCCAAGTATCTAACATTTCTTCGAGCTGGAAAGAACAAATGAAATGAAATCATGTGAAAAATGGAATGGAAATGACCTGTCACAGAGGCAGGGACACACACACACACTTGTGGGGCAGAGAGGAGTGCATCTCTTCCCTCAAAGAGGAACAGGAAAAGTTAAGCTGGAAAATGCGGGAAGGAATGGGGCCACTCGTGAGTGTGTCAGTATCCCAACTGAAGGAGAGAGGGAGTGGGGGAAGGGGGCCTGTGAAACAGGCTGGGCCAAAGGGGGTGGGCAGGACTGCCAAAAGGTTAGGTGGGGCGAGAGAAGTGGTGATGGAGATGCCTTGAGCTGCTGTCAAATTAGATACAACTCCTGAGTAGATCGTTCTGCATTTAACTATGACAGTGACCCTAAAAAGAAGGAAGCTGCATTTAAGAAAGCATGCGCGCCTAAATGTGTGGGGGCCAGAGCATGCTGTTAAAACTCCCTCCAGCGTGAAGCCTCTTTTTTTTTTTTTTGCTTCTCTGTGTCACTCGTTCTCATTTGAACTTTCCTAGAGAGTGGAAAGCAACATTTTGGGTTTTATTGTTGGGGTAGGCGATCTAGGCCTCCCAGAGGAAAGGGGGAGTGCGGGAAGTACCCAAGTGTTCTGGAAGCACAGACTGGGAGAGGGGCGCGCGGGAGGGCCGAAGGCGACGCCCGACAGGGACAGAAGGAAGCCGGGCCGACGTGCGGGGGAGCGAGCCAAGGGCAGAGCCGCAGCTGCGTGGAAACCGAGGCGCGGGGGCGGCGGGGCTCCAGACCCCGCGAGCGCAGGAGGCGGCGCGCGCGAGCCCCAGGGACGCGGGTCGCCCTGGGAGCCGGCGGCCATCCTCACCATTGTCCCCGAGGTTTT